TTTTTTTGGAACTTAGCAATCGTCCGTTATCCTGATATACATACTTCCGCTTCTTGCGCGTTAAAGGGAGAACGCGCACGAGGGATACACGCGGACTGTGAAAAATTTCGTACGAAGGAATCGATCGGAAGAAACGATCTTGAAGGATAGAGTCTGAGAGAAAGAGAACGAAAGCACGTGCGCGCGCGGAAGAGAACTTTGAAAATTTCTCGTAGAAACTACGGCGTGATATATCCAAGTCCAGTGTTCTCGTTACTGCGTCGTATCGATTTGTATCGTGGATTTCGTTACACGATTCTACGAGTGAGTGGAAAAAAAGAAGTTGACCAAAGTGGGTCTCGCGGACAGTTACGTTCGCGGAAGAAACATCGCTGTGTTCTTATCGCGTGACTTTTGTTTCCCTTTTTTTCTTTTTTTCTCTCCTCTTCGTATCGAGTGTTTATAACCGTGAAACGTCTAGCGAAAACACACCTTTTTGCAAAAAAAGATTGAGAAAGACGCGAACTCGGAGAGTTTCGTTTGAAGAAATTCGTGCGATCTCTTTCTCCTCTTCTCTTCTGTGTTTCTTTTTTTCTTTTTTCAAATGTTCGATGAAAAAAAGTGAAATCTCACGTTATGAAATTTTATCAGAAGAATGCAAGTGTGTTCGAGAAAACATCGCGTCGAGAAATTAATCGGAGCGTCGCTGCTTGGACAGGAAACGCGTGTTGACGTGTCCGCCGGGATATGATTTCATTCTCCCTCTTCCTTTTTGAAATTCCACTGTTTTCTTTTCTCAACGAAGTTATAAAATGCATCCTCTCAAGATGACGGACTGTGAGAAATGCAAGTTGCAAGATCCATCTCTGCTCTTTGCCAGTGTGATCGTTCAGTGATCGTCGATGTCGTTCGTTGGGCATCGTCGCGCCGTGGAAATTCTCGAGTTTTATTTTTGCGTGGTGACGAGGCCTAACCGTTCGAGGACAGCAGGAAGAATCGGGTAAGATTACGAAACGAAATGAAACTAAACGAAGACAGGCGGGCGATCGTGGAAAGAGCTGCTGGTGGGCCCCTTTCGATCGATCGAAACGACGTCCAACGACGTGAAATTGTGGCTCCGGAGGAGATATTGGAGGAGTTGGGTGACAAGGGTAAACCTAGTGGGACGTCGGAATTAGGAAACGTTGCGAAATCGATGTCGAAACGCGTTTTCTCGAGTTCTCTCTCTCTCTCTCTCTCTCTCTCTTTCTCTCCGCGTTATAATCGTCTTATCCGCTCGGTTCGCCGAGCACGCGGCTTCTCAAAAATCCACGCGCCTCTCCAAGAATAGATATCAACGCGACGCCTAACCGACGTTACGCGGAAGAACTGCGCGTCGCGTCGCGTCGCGTCGCGTCGCGTCGCGTTATCACCGGAACACGTAATACTCCCGTTTTACGTGGCGCTTCCTCTCGCTCTGATTTCTATCTGCCTTTGATTCATCGCCTTCGTTTAAATGCGCAAGATTTCGACCTTTCTCTCCCCCCCCCCCTCCTCCTCCTCCACAGCCATGCGCGATTGCGTAAAACAGACGAGCGGACAATGAACATTATTAGAAGAACTGTCGTTGGAATTGGCAACAATATCTTGCCAATATTCAGCATGTACGCCCACGTATGTGTGTGTACGTCGTACGTGCACGAAGACGAGGCGTTTTTTTCTGAAAAATTTCATTGCGAATCTAATTGTTAGTCGAAGAAGAATTTCACTCTAAATATATAATTGAATAAGTAGCTGTGGATAAATAATTGCTTTGTTCGATCGCGTCTAGCTTATCGCTTCGTCTTTTGTATGTACAGGGTGTCCTTTGAACTTGGACGGCCAAACAGCCAAACTTATCGACGATTAAAGTAAATCCATCAGAGACATAGCAATCAAAAGAAAAAAAAAAAAAAAATAGAGAAACTTTATTATACAATGGTATTTATACAATTATATTACGAAAAATTATCTAAATCCTTAAAAATACGTTGTTTCGTGTGTATAAAATATCTGACAAAATTTATCATTTTATCAATTGGTCATTTTTATTATTTTAGCAGCTCCAGGTAGTTAATTTATTAATCTAAAAAAATACTTTTACCCACGAAATGAGAAATTACTTTCCACTTTAATCAAAAAATAACCTTTAATTCCACGAAGCGTGGTATCGGTGTTGAATAATTGAATTAATATAACTATGTATAATATATATGAAGTACAATATTGTTACTTCGTACAACTATAAAGTTCCTAGGAATTTTCCTGAGTTTCGATAAAATCACGTTTTTAATACAAGTAAAATTTCCATAAGTAAAAATCAAATGGCAAATAAAAATGCGTAGCTATAGGGCGGGCCAAAATTCACTTCCTTCCAAGATAAAAATTTAATTTAAAATTAATAAAATTAGTTTCTTCTTGTATTTCGATGTTTTATGAAAAAGAAATAGGTGAGAAGAAACCCTGTATTTCACGTACGATTTAAACAATATTTCTTTGCAACTCTCGTGATAATTCCTGACAAACTTTACCCAACAATTTTCTTTTCCTTTCATACGTAGTTATCAAATTCTCGTAGCTTGGCCGTATACCGAAACGAACTCATAGTACCCTCCTTTTACGTTTCATTTGCAAACTATTTATAATCGATACGAAATTCAACACTATTTAAAGCTGTTTAAATACTTGTTATAAGTCAAGTACTTGCAGTGTAAGTACTTTTACGTAGCCAAAGAAAAGTAGCCTTGTCGCTTTCATTCTGACAATGAGACACTCCTCACGCGATTCCCTATCTCCTCTCCCTCTATCTCTCTCTCTCTCTCTCTCTCTCTCTCTCCAAGATGGTGGAGGCGACGCCCGACGCACGATTACGCCTCACGTATCTTTGGTCGCGTTTCTTTCGACTTCTCGCGTAGCGTGCAGATCGAACGAACCGCAGTTTCGCGTTCATGTGCATCGAATTGGCTGCGGTGCAACGGTGAGCCGCGCGAAGGGTGAGGCGGAAGGCACGCATATTTTCGAGCGTGACGCACCTTGGACGCTGGGCTTGGCTCACCGGTCGACAGAGAGAAAGAAAGAGAGAGAGAGAGAGAGAGAGAGAGAGAGAGAGAGAGAGAGAGAGAGAGAGGCCACCGCTGGGTCCGCTTTGTGCACAAGCGTGTAAAGCCGCGTTCACGAGCCGTGAGAGGAGTCGTCGCGGATCTGGTTCGTCTGGTTCTTTCTCGGTGCTGTTTGAAAACGGCCAGCCGACGAAGAAGCGGTTGCCTCCTATCGGATTAGATCGTTAAGTCGAGAGAGTAATGGTCGGTGTAACGTGCAGGGTTAATGGTACGAGCGGATCACTCGGGAACTCGGGAACTCGGGAACTCTCTCGAATCTTTCGATTATTATGTGCTAACAGGGTTTCCTTTCCCTCCTTCCCTTGGTACACTTTTTCTCGTACAAACGAGAAAGATTTCGACTCTTGCCCTGTCCTCGCGTCAATTTCACGTACTTTTCGTCTGTGTCTGAGATTACGTTGTTACGCAAATTTAACTGTTTGCCTCTCCCTCGCCGACGTGAAATTTTTATCGACGCGTAAATCATCAGAAAAATGTTGAAGGGTTTAAGAGGCGAGTGGCGAGGAATTGCACGTAAAGAAGTGAATTTAAAAAAAAAAAAAAAGCAACACTTGCGTTCCAATTTTTGGACCAGCAAGTGTGTAGATTGCCTGTTTATAAATATCACGACACCTCTGTTGGCTCGCGCGTGAAACGTAACAAGGAACGATCCGAACCGATCAAAATCCCACGTTTATCCGGACGTAGAATAAAAACAAAGTAAAACTCGCGGGATCGTTTAATCCTATCGTATTTTATAGGCTTAGCGTGGTGTGCGTTTTTTTTTTTTTTTTTTTTTTTTTTTTTTTTCTCTAAAAATTCAATGATTTACCGCGAAACGTAGTATATAACAAAAAAAGCTTTTGTCCTTCGTCCCGTTATAAACTCTTCGCCACCACTTGGTCACCGCTTTCGTTTCCCTGACACGGTCGGGCTCTGGCATCTGCATCGTCCGCGATTTTCGAGAGACTTTCCCCGTTCGTCACGGTCGCGTGTAAATAGTGTGCAAATAAATGGCTGGCGGGAACGAGCCGTGCACATAGCGGGGGCAATAGCGATCGGTGCAGAGAACGAGCTCGATTCCGGCGCGAAGAGAGAGGCTACGCGAAGCTACGGTTTAATTTTATTCGTGTTGCGTCGCTTGTGTCTTCGGGTGTGGTAGTGTTGGTGTTGGTGTTGGTCGGAGCGGCGGCGTATCGGGGCCTAAACGACGCGGTCGTCCATATTAGATGCGACTGCGAGGCGCCATTAACGTCGAAACGCTTAGCCGATCGTCTTTGAATTAACTGCGTGTCTTCTCTTCTCGTTACGCGCTTTCCCGAATCATCGAGGCAACTTTCCTGCGTTTCGCCCCCTCGTGCGGACACGCGTCCGTGAAACGGAACTCTGGAGGACTGATACGGGCAATCTAAACTGTAAGGAAACACGAAGCGAGACAGAGAGAGGCAGAGAGAGAGAGATATAGGAGAGGTAAATGGGAGGAGGGGGGAAAGAGAGAAACAGGAAGAACGAAGTAAAGGAGCAGAACGCAGGATAAAGGCGAAGCGGATACGCACGACGCGTACAAACGGACACGCGAATATACGCGATTATATGCCGGCTATACTGGGTGTCCACCTCGACTTCGCCACTGTTACGAATTAAAGAAACTAACGTGGAAAGTGGCACGACAACGCGGTACTACTTTATCTATGGATGCAAGATGCACGAAGTTTGCATTTACGATACACGTCTTCAAATTAATTACTCAAATCGATACGAGTCTCGATATTTCATAGAATCACGTTCATGATACGTGAGTATCATTTACTCCAAAGTATGCATCGATACACGCTACTGAATTCAAACTAATTACGTTTCTCTCCGACGTGATTACGCGTACACCTATTTCAAACTAAGAACGATTGGGTAATCGATCGCTCTCGAGCAAGTTACGTTTGCAGACATGATTTTTTGCGTTCCTTGCAACTTTTTCGCCTCCAATCTTTCCTCTTTCACGCGGTCAAGTCGGAAACGCGCAGCGTGTGGAAGAGCGCGGGAGAGACACCCAGTGTATAACCGTAACGTGTGTGCGTGCGTGCGTCCGTTTTCACTGTCTCTTTCTTACTCGTCCCGTGGAGAGCATGTAGAGACGACGACGACGACGACGACGACGACGACGACGACGACGACGACGGGGCAAGCACACGATTAACCGGCGGTTCGTTCTCTGCCGGGGAGACTCTTTATACGAGCACGCCGCTCTGCTAACTGGCAACCGGCTACGTTAGCTTAACTGCCTGGCCGAGAAACGAAACGGGCGCGAAAGAGACGGAGAAGGAAACGGACGGAGACGAGGAACAGGGCCGTGCTTAAGCACCTTTAGTACCACCAGCCTCGCGATTTCCAAGGGGAATGCACTCGTTTTACGACACATCCGAGCCTTTTCATTTTTATTTTTTTTTTTTTTTTGTTCCCGGCGCGCTACCTTACCCACAATCCGGCCTGTCTCGATCGTCTCGAGTATAAAAGTCGGTCGGACCAACCCTCCAAACGTGGCGGGTTCCCTCCGTTTTGGATATTGTTTGCCTTCTTCGTCCGCGAGACTCTGATTTCACATTTCATTACGGCATACGCGAATACGTGACTTTCGAAACTCGCGGCATAATGCAAGGGACTGAAATCTCCGTAAAATTTGCCGCTGCGAGCCTATGAAATTTCTATGGCAAGTTGCGTGTCGATTGTCTCGATGCCTCTGGTGTTAACAGGCTTTAGAATCGGATCCACATGTACTGGAAATAACGCGAGAGAGAGAGAGAGAGAGAGAGAGAACGAAAGGTTGGCGAGCAATCGATTGAAAGATTAGGGCGAAGCAACCCACCCGATTATTTTAACCCTCCGTTCG